CTGAAAATGGAATTGCTGTATCACCCTCAGTTTTCGAAAAACACGAGTTTTTGTGAAAACGTACAATTTTGGGCAAAAGCGAGGTATTACGCGAAAATTAAAAACATCAGACAGTTCCAATTAATCTTAAAAGATAGAGGAGAGATTCCTGAATATGCTAACATCGATAGTTATAATATTTTGTGCTTTTGAACGGTTGTAAATGATCGCCAAAGTTTGAAAAAGTGTCGAAGTACGTACTTTATACACAATACTTTTGCATATTTACGAAAAGTTGTTTACCTGACACGAAATCTATACATAGGATCTGATTCTGCAGACATTTCTGAAGAAGAAACTGACCAACAGAAGTGTAAAAGCTGTTCTCAATTGTCACAGGTCGAGAAAATGTGTATTTGCAACGCGTGCACGACGTTTGACCGCCACGCGGCCATCGCTTGCTTATCTCGGCGCGGCAGTGCCGTAGCTACCTACAAGCGAAACTGGTATAATGGTGCAATAGGGTATGCACTCTGTATACAGGGTGTCCCGTAAATAGTGTAAGAACCGGAAATGGGGGGTAGGTGAGACGATTCTAAACAACAATTTCCTTTGCAAAAATGTCGGATGGGGCTTCGTTTTTGAAGTATTAACGAAAAACACTGACCAATCACGGCGCTCGCCTTCCGCGCGCTCAGGGCCGTCCGACCTCGGAGAGCCACCGCGCCGGGTAGGTAGCAAGATGCGCGTTGAAAATACATCGAGGAACGAGTACAAATAATTAAAAATACTACCACTGCAACTGCTACCTAATTTCGTGAATTACTACGTAATTAGTACGTAAATTACTAAATGGAATTTACTTTTTATTAATTATTTGTATTCGCTGTTTCCAAGGAAGAAGGAATAAAATCTCGGAATTTTGAGAAAATTAACCCTTCGCACCCGAGTGACGCTTCTCGCCAGAGTGTTTTAAAATTAAAATAAGAATTATTATCAGAAAATTAAAATAAATACGGTAAGAACCATTTGTAACCGTTTGTTATTAAAAACTGTACTGAAAAGCAGACTGGATTTCTGCGTACCGAAACATTCCTCGAATGCAAAGGGTTAATAGAGAAATAATTGAAATTCGACTTACCCATTCATCTGCAAGTTGACCTACTGCGCTGACAATAGGGCCCGGCCAATGCACCGCTGTCGATCACGGCAAGGTCGAAGACCCGAACGAAAATCAGCTGATGGGCCAGCCCGGTCACTGTACCTGCTTCTCACCCCGAAAATACTTCACAGCACGGTCACTAACACTTTTCACTTTCGCATACGGATGCGTTCCGTTGCACCCTTCTTCGATTGTTGCACCTTCCTGGGTTGATAACGGTGTCTGGATGTTGTTCCCTCCTGAATTGTTGTTGCTCCCTGAATTGTTGTTCCTTCCTGGATTGTTGTTCCTTCCTGGATTGTTGCTTCTTCGAACCTTGCTCCCTTCAGGATTGTTGTTCCTTTTCGCTGGGATAATGGGCACGATACGTGCGGGCGGCTTTCTTCGCGTTCCCCTTGGACTCCGCGAAAACGAAGAACGTACGATAATACTCTGCGTTTACGCGTTCCATCGCGTGCGTCCGCTTCTGTTCAGAAACGCGTAGGTTCTGTGAAAAATTTTGACTGACAAATTGCATTTCCCTCCCCGAAAAAGTTCCAGGTAGGGCAACCCATTGTCGCGCGATTCGGAATTACCTGCGATCGGCGAACGTGCAGACCATGCTTTTGCCGTGTATCGCACAAAGCCAAACGTCTCTTCGGCTAGTTGACCCTGGGGAGTTATTTTTTTATTACTGCAAAACTGCCGCAAATGTTTGCTGCTAACCGTGCGTTCGACTCTTCTATTCGAATTTTTATGATTCACCGTGAATATTTTTGTACACAAAACATATTTAATTGTACAACAAAAATATTTAACGAAAATATTAGAAAATATTTCTTCTTGGAATTTTTATTTCAGAAATAAAAACTAGAAGAAATATTATTTAATATTTTTGTTAAATATTTTTGTTTTTTGTTGCTCCAATATTTTTTATTATCGCATATTATCTATTATGTAACTGCCTCCTTCTTTGTGGATTATTTTTTATAAACAATACCTTTTTATTTTATACTCTTAAAATTTAAAAGCATGGAATTTTTCATGGTATATTCTTCTTTCTTTTTTACAACAAATTTTCCATGAAAAAATATTCACGGTGAATCATAAAAATTCGAATAGAAGAGTCGAACGCACGGTTAGCAGCAAACATTTGCGGCAGTTTTGCAGTAATAAAAAAATAACTCCGCCAGGGTCAACTAGCCGAAGAGACGTTCGGCTTTGTGCGATACACGGCAAAAGCATGGTCTGCACGTTCGCCGATCGCAGGTAATTCCGAATCGCGCGACAATGGGTTGCCCTACCTGGAACTTTTTCGGGGAGGGAAATGCAATTTGTCAGTCAAAATTTTTCACAGAACCTACGCGTTTCTGAACAGAAGCGGACGCACGCGATGGAACGCGTAAACGCAGAGTATTATCGTTCGTTCTTCGTTTTCGCGGAGTCCAAGGGGAACGCGAAGAAAGCCGCCCGCACGTATCGCGCCCATTATCCCAGCGAAAAGGAACAACAATCCTGAAGGGAGCAAGGTTCGAAGAAGCAACAATCCAGGAAGGAGCATCAATTCAGGGAGCAACAACAATTCAGGAAGGAGTAACAATTCAGGAGGGAGCAACATCCAGACACCGTTATCAACCCAGGAAGGTGCAACAATCGAAGAAGGGTGCAACGGAACGCATCGGTATGCGAAAGTGAAAAGTGTTAGTGACCGTGCTGTGAAGTGTTTTCGGGGTGAGAAGCAGGTACAGTGACCGGGCTGGCCCATCAGCTGATTTTCGTTCGGGTCTTCGACCTTGCCATGATCGACAGCGGTGCATTGGCCGGGCCCTATTGTCAGCGCAGTAGGTCAATTTGCAGATGAATGGGTAAGTCGAATTTCAATTATTTCTCTATTAACCCTTTGCATTCGAGAAATGTTTCGGTACGCAGAAATCCAGTCTGCTTTTGCAGTACAGTTTTTAATAACAAACGGTTACAAATGGTTCTTACCGTATTTATTTTAATTTTCTGATAATAATTTTTATTTTAATTTTAAAACACTGGCGAGAAGCGTCACTCGGTTGCGAAGGGTTAATTTCCTAAAAATTCCGAGATTTTATTCCTTCTTTCTCGGAAACAGCGAATACAAATAATTAATAAATTCGATTTAGTAATTTACGTACTAATTACGTAGTAATTAACGAATTAGGTAGCAGTTGTAGTGGTAGTATTTTTAATTATTTGTATTGGTTGCTCGATGTATCTTCAACGCGCATCTTGCTACCTACCCGGCGCGGTGGCTCTCCGAGGTCGGACGGCCCTGAGCGCGCGGAAGGCGAGCGCCGTGATTGGTCAGTGTTTTTCGTTAATAATTCAAAAACGGAGCCCCATCCGACATTTTTGCAAAGGAAATTGTTATTTAGAATCGTCTCACCTAACCCCCATTTCCGGTTCTTACACTATTTACGGGACACACTGTATATGTAGTATGTTTGATTTTTTTTTTGTAACTTTTATTGCTTAATATATTTGTATACTCTAGGATACTAATCACTGAATTATATTTTTAAAATCCATGTAAACTTATCAATGGAATCACTCGAACATGTACGCTTTTCTAAGAAAGATCTGGAGTAAATCCTTGCTATTCACACTTCGCTCTTAGGAATATTATTCCTATTCTGTGAGGCAACTCAACAATAAAATGTTGTTTATTTTTTTACGGCTTTATATTTAAAAAACCATTCATATATATACAATGAACATTGAAATTGTTTAGTAATGGGAATGATCGAGAAATGTTTTGTACAAATCCACAAACAGATTAAAAAATAAAAAATGATAAACATATACAGGAATTAGGAGCCTAAGATATTATCGGTGTCGCATCCATTATGCGTAGCTACGACACTGCCGAGCCGAGGTAGGCTAGCGATGGCCGCGTGGTGGTAAAACGCCGTGCACGCGTTGCCAATACACATTTTTTCGACCTGTGACAATTGAGAACGGATTCTATACTTCTGTTGGACAGTTTCTTCTTCAGAAATGTCTGCAGAATCAGATCCTGTGTATAGATTTCGTGTCAGGTAAACAACTTTTCGTAAATATGCAAAAGTATTGTGTATAAAGTATGTACTTCGACACTTTTTCAAACTTTGGCGATCATTTACAACCGTTCAAAAGCACAAAATATTATAACTATCGATGTTAGCATATTCAGGAATCTCTCCTCTATCTTTTAAGATTAATTGGAACTGTCTGATGTTTTTAATTTTCGCGTAATACCTCGTTTTTACCCAAAATTGTACGTTTTCACAAAAACTCGTGTTTTTCGAAAACTGAGGGTGATACAGCAATTCCGTTTCCAGATTCGTGTTTAGGGTACGAAGCTCTACAAGAATCACCTAGTGGATACGGAAAAACAAAATTCGTGTTGAACAGTGTAATCTATAATTCTTCGAAAAGGATCCAAAATTAATGTCGAAACATTGAATTAAAATTAATTTTAGTCACAAATCTCTTTTAAACAATCACAAGCAAACACTTTAATGTCTTCGACTACTCAGAGTAAGAGTTATATTATTTTCTTCAGTTCTTTATTACGCGTTGATTAACTACCGTTTCCTGATTCCTTAGATACACGTTGTGTAAAAATTGTTCTCTTCCGAGGAGTATCAAATTCTGTACTGCTGTTCTTTGATAACAGGTTCGATCGATGACCAGGAAAAATAACACGATCATTGTCTGTTAAGGGATCTCTATTGAGTTGCGAAACTTTGTAAATTTCATCAACCTAGATAGAGCTAAAGACAGAATGTGTGATGATGACGACGGCAACAGAAAGGTTCTAATTGGAAAGAAAGACAAAAAGGGATGTGACAGGTTGGCCGATGTTACTCACAGTTTGCTTAGGCGCGTGGTCTACGTGATCGCCGGGCACTCCGGGCGGTCCTGTATTCTCTCTCGCTGCTTTCATACTTTCTGCTATTTTTTGGAAGCGGTTCTTCCTCATTTGAATCCTCTTTGCCATGTAGCCCACCGTGGCGTATTCTGAGAGGACAGAGAATCCACAGAGATAATGAGACAGGACGGACAGAGCGTGTGACATTGCAAGGACAACGTCACGCGTTTCTGTGACGCTGAACGAATTCATACTCTCTTTCGAGGACCAAGGGATCGTTCGTGTGTCGAGGAGTGGAATATCAGGAAGAACATATGCAGGTGACACGCGTGGATAGTGCTGGGCTCGAGATCGATCTAATCGCTTCGAATCTGTGACGTCAGTTTCGAATCGTTTTAAATCTGTGATGTTAGTTTCGAATCGTTTCGAATTTGTGACGTCAGTTTCGAACTGCTTCGAATTTTATTCGGAACAGAAAAGTCATGGAAATTGTGGGTTAGCTTGAAAGTCTTGATATGTCTTCAAAGTCTCGAATGTTCGAAAGGTTTTCTTTCAGAAGTAACGATACGCTTTATCATTGATACTGTTCAAACGTTCAACATCTTCAAGAACGAATTACTTTGAAACAAACACAAAAATAAATTGATACTGATGTATGACTTCCATCAATACTGTGGCTATATTGTCATATTATGTCAATGGGAAATTTAATTGTTAGAATATTTTAAATAATTAAAGAGCTAAACTGATAGTAATTGCTGTGGAAAGCAATATGTATGTTAACAACGTGACTGTACCTCTGAAATTCTTATACAGAATTGCAATTTTTGTCGGGTTTGGAATATAAAATAATAAGGTTATAAAAATAAAATTGGTTTGTTCAGATTTCACTGGCGGGATTAGTCAGGGAAAACTTGGAAACGTAAATTTTGTTTTTATAACTTTATTATTTTATATTCCAAACTCGAAAAAAAATCAACGAATGAATTGAAGTCATATGTGTATTTCTGCAATGTTTAACAAGAATTTCGAAGGAACAATTCATGTTGTTAATATACAATAAGAGTATCCTAACATGTGGGGCCCATTTATGTGATCGAAGATACCAAAAGGATGGAGATAATTCATATAAATATGTTCTTTATTCGACCTTAAGTGCTCGATACGGCCATCTTCGACTCCAATAAAAGTCTCCAATAGTTTTTCAAATTTTCAAGTATTCCAGGTATTGTATAGGATTCGCTAGTAAGCCTTCTCGAAGTATTTCAAAACTAGTAATGGATGTCGAATAAATGAATGTTTTCAAGTGACCCCAAAAACACTCAGCAAATTTTAATCTGGAAAACAAACAGGTCAAGAAGTCTAATTATATTTTTTCCAATAATTCAGACAATTCAGATATTGACAAAAAATTGATGTATTAATTTCTTATTGAGGCAAATGAATGATTGCACATTGTTTACACATAGTTCTTTAAAATTAGTTATGATTAAGAATGTTCGGAGTACAAAAATGGCTGTAACTCGGGAACAAGGTCCAATGGGGCGAACGTTTTCATGAACTATTTGTCGTCACTTTTGAGTCCTCAACATCTATTAAATGGAACTCACATGTATAATGCTCCTATTGTCCTTACTTTCAAAAATGTTGCGGATGAAAAAAATCAAGTTTTGGGACAAAATTCAGTTACAAACTAGCACGACCTATATTATGCAAATTTTACTTACGCAGACTAGCTAGGTAATAGAATTATGGTACCATTGAATGAAACGATTTCTCCATAACCTAGCGATTACTAGAAGCTAGGGAGTTTGGGGGTTAGGCACGAGCTACCTGCAGCACTCGACCAAGGCGTCTAAGACTCATCAAGACCAAGCTTTGAAAAATATTTTCAAGATTTTCCATGACTTTCAAGAACTAGTTTCGAATAATATTTGAAGCAATTCGAGACTTCATAGTCTTGAGTATAATAAATCTTTTCGAGATAGTGATTCGAACGCCCATCACTACTCGTGGAGGAGTACGCAACGGTACTCACCGAGCAACGAGGCGAACACCATGACGAAACAGGTTCCCAGATAGACGTCGATGGACTTCACGTAGGAGATTTTCGGTAATGCCGCGTTCGTCGAGGACATTAGAGTGGTCATGGTGAGCACAGTGGTTACTCCGAGGGCCACCCGAGCGGGGGTCGCGTTTCGGTTCAGCCAAAAGCTCACCCATGAGATTATGACGATCAAGCCCGAGGGAATGTAGATTTGAATCAAGTAGTAGCCCATCGACCGTACGAACTGGATCTCGCAGGCCAGCCGCGAATAATTCCCTACGATTAAAAGATCGACAGTTAAGACAGGGGGACGGAGAGGCGCCATGAAATGTCTCTTTTATGTCTCTCTTTCTCTCTGCCCTAGTTTTTGCTTTTTTTTTATTTTTTCGTTTCCCTCCTATATCTCTCTCTTTCTCCGACGGTTTCTTTTCACATATCCCCTTTGCCGTCTCTACTACTGTCATCGACTAGTCTAGGCCGGGAAAAGCGGACTCGTAGCTCGCGAGCGACTCTCCATCTTCTTCCACCCTCTGTCTCTCTCTTTCCCTCTCACCGTTCCATTTTCGTTTGCACGAGACGAATACGCGACGCACGAGAGCTGGCGAGATGTTAAGCAAAGTTCGTGCCATTGATGGGCCCGTGGTGCACGAGGCGTGCTTGGAAGTGGGAACGCAGTGGTTGCGCGAAGAAGTAAAGTACGGAGAATAAGGAACCTGCCTTGGTTAGGCGGATCTTCTGCGTCGAACCTCGTACGCCAGAATATTTGACGCCACCTTTACCAAGTTTGTGACTAGACAAAGACTATACAGGTATGGTAGGATCACGTCAGGAACTGTGTCTCTCGTATTAACTGAGTGGAGTGATTACAAACAGTTTGAGATTCATTTAAACATGCAATTGTGGTGTATCGTACGTATCAAATATTGTGCAGAGCTGAAGAGATTATGAGTAAAAGGAACGTGGATACGATTGGTAGTAGTAAATAAGTCACACCTCCAAAGCAGTCACAGTGATGACTAAAGGAGTGTCAAAGGTGCAGCTGGGGTGGAGCGTACAGGTTTTCATATTTCAGGATATTAAAATTTCATGTCTGTTTATAGTTTCCTTTGGAAATAAAACAAGTGATGATTTACAGTCAACTTGAAACCGAATCATGTGTCAGATACTTTATGATGATGCATTAATCACAAAAAATGTATAGGTTCAATCGAGAATTTCAAGTTTTGGAGTTACTCTTACGTAAGAAGTCACTTTTGTTTCGCTTGTATCTGAGTGGTGTCTGGGTTAGGTTTGGGTTAGGTTCAGTAGTTTTTGAGATATTACAGTTTTAGTCGCACCCTATAGAAAGTAGCTTAAATAGCCGTTTAAATTAGCGCAAGTAGGAAAGGAATGGAGGTCCTTGAGGGGTTGAGTGAAACTGCCAGTTCGAGCAATGAATTTCTTTGACAACGAAAACAGGCTGCGCAAAAGAATGGTTGGAAACAGCGTAGCCAGAAAAATAAACCGAATCCGATTTTTGAGAAATGAGGAAAGGTAGTATGATATGGTTACCCACTACTGTCTCGACCGAGCGAAGTGGTGGGAGAAGCAACAAGACACTAACAAGGAAATCACCCCAATTGGTCGACTTTGATTTTAACTGGTCTTTGCAAGGTGATTGTATACAGAGTGCCCCATTTAAATTGAGATTGTAAAGAATCTTGAAAACATGTGATTTAAACAAAAACAAACTTACACATGTCTTTTAGTGTTTCGAGTGAGGAGTCAAATGACACTACTCTTTTAATGCGTGGGTGTTGTCAAGGTTATTTTAAGGTCATCTTGTCTTTTTTATCATAATATTTTTTATTTTGGAATCATGTTCTACGTAAAAAAATGCACAACTTTTGTCTGAGGCATATCTTTGTGAGACTGTTAAACTGTAAAATAAAGATAGAAGTACTAAAATATATTAGTTTTGTAAATAAAAAATATCACAATATTTGTTTAAACAAATTATTTTAATTGATAATGAATAACTTTCTTATATAACTAAAATTTATTGAATAACTAAAATGATATCTAATAATCAAATAACGTGCTAAAATCTATGTTTTTCCTATTTTTAGTGGAATTTAATTCTTTTGTATAAACAATGCCGTTGTAACATGGTCTGGTCCGATCGACTTGATTTTTTGTAGAGTTTATTTGTTTACTAAATAGTCCAATTTGAATATTAAAATTTAAAAAAAAATTTCCACCAAGGGTAACTAAGGCCACCCTACTGCATACACTATGTCGCAATTTTATAATATGATCTTTTAGCGTTCTAGTCGTGTAACTGGGAACGTATTGCGAATGAAAAGAGGTGACATAAATTAAGTTAGTACTGACCCACTGCAATAGCTTCTCACGCAGTTGTTTCCCTTTGCCCTTTCACGCATCACTTTCATCATCAAGAAGACCGCATCATGCTAAAGAGACGACCTTGATAGGTTAGCCGGTAGCGGTTATAATTCCAGTAGGAGTTTTTACTTCAAAATATTTAACGCCATCTTTATTACATCGGCTTTAACAAAGAAAGGACACAAATTGTTCAACTTTGATTTTAATCTGCCTTTGTAGAATGGTGATAGAGAGATCTCTTTTGACTAATATAAAATATTAAGTGTTGATATTTAATAATTTTTAAAATTTAAATAATTAAAGTTACATAAATTAATACAGATGGGTATGTACAGCGATGTATTTATTCTGAGCACAAAGAAAAAAACATTCTATACATGACTAACATATACTACCTAATAAATTTTTAATATCGTATATTTGTTAGTTTAACGTTTCTAGTAACATGTAGGATGGCTATCATTCGTCGTCATGTAGTACATTATCGCATTAATGAGGACGGAAAATTAAAAAATGAATAAAGAATATTCTGTATGAAAAGATTCGATCTGGTGATCCCAAGTTTACTAATTAAATGTTTATGCTAATTCACCACCGCCGTTATCCATCTGTATCGCGGTATGTAAATTTAATTATTTATATTTTAAAAACTATTAAATACCTACACCTAATATTTTATTTACATTAAAAGAGGTCTCTGAGGCGCTATTCTACAAAGGAACAGTAAATTCGAAATTAAACAATTCCTGTTCTTATGAGTGTACATATACAGGGTGTTCGGCAACCCCTGGGAAAAATTTTAATGGGAGATTCCTGAGGCCAAAATAAGACGAAAATCAAGGATACTAATTTGTTGATTGAGACTTCGTTAAAAAGTTATAGAAACATTTCAGGCCACACAGTATATTCTCGGTAAAGAATTTTTTTCTCGAGAGTATGTAGGATTTCGGGGGTATGTGTATTCACCAAAAATGATTGTAATTTACCCCAGGAACTGAAAATAATTTTTTTAGAACGATTTGAAAAAATTGTTTTTCGCCAATAAATTTCAGCAGCTACCTCCTGTCGATTTTTCTTAAAAATTCGTTTTAATTTTTAATAAATTTGATTGACGCTGTACGGAAAAGTTGTTTAATACTTTTTTGTAGCTATCCATAACTTCTACTTCCAGACTAAATTTCAATGAGATCCCTTCACAATTGTAGAAGTTATTGCTGCTTGAATATTGCACCAGTTTTATGGGGGTTTTCTCACTTTATGGGGGCAACGTTTCAAATATTTTCAGAATTGCTACATATTCTACACTAAAATACGTGTTGTTTGCCTTTTGAAACATTAAAATCCTCCAATCCATTCAGAAGTTATGATATTTTAAACATTTGCATGAAATTTCAGTGAAACATATCAATGCATGGTCAGACATTACATTTCCGGTAAGGAATTTTTTCCTCGAAACTGCGTAGCATATCGGGGGTATATCTATTGACCAAAAATGATGGCAATTGACTCCCGCAACCGAAAATAATGTTTCCGTGAATGATTTGAAATTTTTTAATTTAATTTTTTAATAACTTTTTAACGAAGCCTCAATCAACAAATTGATATTCTTGATTTTCATCTTATTTTGGCCTCTAGAATCTCCCATTAAAATTTTTCCCACGAGTGGCCAAACACCTTGTATATCATAAGTTCGTGCCGTTCGATATTCAGATATTGATGCGAATGAAATTTGTAATTTAATAAAAAACAAACCAAATTTGTCAGTTCAGAGGATATCTAATATTTTAAACATCTTAACATCAATAATTCGTACAAATTTGAAATAAATAAATATTGTATCAAAGTTCGAAATTTGGAATTCACACTGGTTTACGAAATGAAATTTTCTTGGTCGTGCTTGAGCCTAATTGCTTGAATACTTTTTTTTGGCCGAAATTTAAATTGAAATTTTAAAAATTTCAAAACCGAACCTTATAAAAAATACAATATAACAATCTCCAGGCTTATTAGTGAGTAGAGATTCAACTTTTTTCTGTATAAATTTTTTTATATCTTTACATAGAAAAATGTCAAACAACTGCAACTTGTTCCAGTTTCTAAAATAAAATCATCTTGCAGAGAATGGGTTTCCGTTTTTTGGTGTAATCGTCAAAAATAAAAATTTTGCAATGAACACGATAAGGTGTAAAACATTATAAATTCTCTTGCTGACCACTTGGGTTTCTTCTACGATTCTGTAAATTCTGGTCGAGGAAAAAATGTAATGAATAATTGTTTCACTTAAAATAAATACTAATAGTCTATTATAGAGTATTATGCTTGTGTGCCTAGGGTATTTTTGTTTTGCGAATATTCAATAAATAACCAAGAAATAATTTGTGATTATAAACATTGGATCGACACAAGACGTCGGGAAGCAAATTTACTTGCTGTCCACACGGATTTCTGCAAAAAAATGTAATGAATAATTGTTTCACTTAAAATGGATGCTAATAGGTATTATGCTAGGGTATTTTTGTTTTGCGAAAGAGAGCGTGATGCGTGGTTGAGGAATGAGACGAGTAAGTAGACGTATACAGACGAGTGATAGAAGATTTAAAGTGGCAGTAAAACTTGATAGTACGAACCAAGATGGCGGAAGCGTACGTGACATTCGCAGCATTCGAGTAACGATCAATGTTTCCCGATGGAAGCAACACCGAACCTAATCGCTCTATAACATCCACCAGGCTCGTGTATCTGCACGGAAGACGAGATCGCGAGAAAGAGAGAGATACTGATCGATCGATCGACGATTACTGAACGTAGTAACGTCCTTAGAGCGACATCGCGGCTGCGGACATCGGATAACGCTCACGTGTCTCTCCACCTTACCCATACCGTTAAAAGCGAGGGTTGAATTATTTTGGTTGTTGGTGGGGGTGGGGTTCTATTCATACGTTACCGGTAGTAAGACTAATCTCCATGGCTCGCTGACGGTGACCAAGGACCTTGAACTGAGGGAGGGAGACTTCGGGGCTGACACCGACGCTGTCCGGGCCCTCGTTCCACTTGTACCGGATGTCCCTCATCGTGTATCCGACTGAAAAAATAGAGAGACCCCCCGCGGTTGGTACGTACCTTCGCGGAAGCCCTCAAACGCGTTTCAGCTCCGAGGGGGCCTCCACTTACCTCGCACCCCCGTCAAACACCCCAACAAGTCCGCTCTCTCTTTATTCCCTCTATTTTTCTCATTCGTGTTCGTTCTATTTTTCTCTGTCTTTCCTTTCGTTTCATTCCTTCATTCGTGTCTTACATTCTATCTGTCTCTCTTTGTTCGTTTAGTTATTCATAATATATATATATATATATATATTATGAATATATGAATATATATATATATATATATATATCTATTGCGAGAGAACGTTTGCTCCCATAACCGGGACGATAAGAATCAAACGAACGTCAGAGAACATGCGAACGGAGTTCCTCTAAGTACATATATATATGCATATATACAGACATATATATCGGTTCGTTCGTTTTACTATCATCCTTTAGGTGTAGTGATCGTCCTGCGTGGCCGTTTTCAGGCCGCGGGACTTTCGTTTCTCTGAGAGCCCGTTGTGTCGGTTTGATCTGATGTTGTGGATGATAAGTCGGAGATTGACTCGGTACCATTTACAAGACCGTTACGCTTTTTGTATCGATAAGCAAAAGATCAACAGAGAACAGATTTCCATTCGCAAATAAACGAACAAAGTCACAAAATAGTACGTCGTCGACCTTCAATCGTGATTAAGGACTAAATTGGGGATCGATGGATTTCGTATGACTTGGGATCACGTCTTCGTCCTTTGTTCCGTGAATTATACAGGTGAAGTCGAAATTAGTCGATCGGTCGATTTGTCGGATGAATTAGCTCCGTAGACGTATCGTCCTAGCGGGTAAGCTCTTTCTTAATCGGAAATAATCGAACGTGTCCGCGGTATGGCAACACGGTGAACGGTGCATATTGGTGCAAACTAATGAAAAAAAAAGAAAAAAAGAAGAGAAAAGAAAAGAGTAGACAGTAAAGAACGAAACAGAAAGGTAGGTAACGCACGAATCGTTCAAAATGAGTGGTCCACACATGTCGAACCGTTGCGGCGTGTGTACAGTAAAATAGTTCATGATTCGTCGTCTGCGCGAGCCTCTGGACGAAGTTCTGAAGGAAGAACTAATAAGAGGGGGATATCTACCTGTAGATAGGTGTATGGTTGAATTTCGTTGCCTGTGACCGAGCACGCGAAACTGCGGTAGTTCCACCTCGTTCGAGATGCCGACCGACTGTAGGCCGGCGTTCCATTTGTACCGAATATCGCGCATTGTGTATCCAACTGCCGGGAGAACAAGAACACAAATATCTTCGCTCTAACATACAATAATTAGACACTCAAGTTTTGTGTTTAGGTCGGATAGGCTTTAGGAGCAAAGTGTTGTTCCAAGGGTAAAGGGGTTAGGGCGATCAGACATGGTAGATACAAGCAAAAATTTATCGAGCACCCTAAGCCGCTTCCCAATTCTTGCTAGTTTTTTTTTTATATTCGAATATAACAATTTCGACGGCTTAGGGTGCGTTTCTCAGCTGCAAAATCGTTCGGCCTAGGCATTGTAATCCGATCGAGGTGACTAAATCAGTTCAGCCAACGTTTACTCGATCGAACTTGATGACACTTTGGATTGTTGCGCGTGTGCAGCGTTTAAAATTCATCCTTATGGACGCATAAGAAGCACTTTATCGGACCCAGTTCAGTCTACGCGGTTGTTGACTCTCGAAACATCTCGTCGGTTCGTCAATATTGTCGTTCGATAATTCACTTGTCATACGTCCATAACCGTACCGCGAGGTTCGATGTACGGTGCAGAACGAACGATCGAGGCCGGCAGGCGCCATCGCGCGTTATCGAACGCGCAATTTGAATTTCGTATCAGTCTAACGTGATCTGATCGGTTTATTCGTTTAAAACACGCTTGAGGAACAGTGATTGCATTTTCTCGGGATTTTTTGTTTCTCGAGATTCGGGAATTCTTAAATTCTTTTTCTGCTTCTTGAGATTCGAAAATTTTTTATAAAAATTTTCAAGTCTCAAGAATTTGAAGAATAAAATAATATTGTCCTTGTTGAAATACAAATTAGGAAACAGCATCTATATTGTATATTTAATTTTATCGATATTGTTATTAGAAAAAGACAAGAAGAGAACCAATTATCTTTTTTTAACTCAAACGAGAAATGAAGAATATGAAAACAGAATTTCAGAAACGAGAAACAAATTGAAAAGTAAATCATAAATTTAAATAGAAAATAAACTAAATATTCGATAATATTAATATTATTTTTATTTTTTTCATCGAATGTACTTTTTTAAAAGACAAGATTAATTTGTTACTAAATCCCGAGAATTTTTTAGCATAATCGGTGTTGGGAAACCTTCTGGCATTTGGAGACAGCACTTTACGAATTTTTTATATAGTTCATGTGCATTTTATTTCATCAAAAGTAAAGAAAGATATTTACGTAAATATAAACTATTGTCCTTTTAGGCGAGCATATCTGTAACTAAATATTCCGTAGTCATTTTAATATTTTAAATAGTCATGTGATTATAGGCAGGCACCTACTATATTCATCTTAAATATTTTTTTAATTTTACGTTTTGCAAAGAATTGTTATATATAGAAGTTGTATATGAATTACTTTTTTAGGTAAAGGCACTTTGAAGATTCAAAGAACAAATTTTATCTTTTTATACCCTCTCATTATATTACCAAATTTCAAGATTTTTTTTTCTATATATCTGTTTCATTTTAACATTTCGTATGTAGGTGTTACATATTATCGTATGGTTAATACATCAATGACCTACAACATGCCTATTGTATATTTTTATTGTTTCTTAAAAAGATAGATTTAAAGATACAATGACACGTTAAAATATTTTTAACATTATGCTATTGCCTTATATATTTAACACAATTATAACATAAAGTATGAAACTAATTAGGCATATGGATTAGATTCCCTCAAATTATAGTAACAAAGAGTAAAATTGTAATTGAAAATATTTTCGATGTAATCAATATAACGTTGATTAAAAATATAAGATATAGCAATTATTTCAATTAAAAAAGTTGAAAGTTTAATAAAAAAAACATTTTTTAAGAATATTGTAGCAATAATAAAACTTAAATATTTTTATTATTTTATAAAAGAAAAAAAGTTTAATTTGCAAATTATAAGAACATTAATATAATAAATTAGCTATTTAAATTACCCTAATTTCGTCTTTACTAATAATCATTGCTACTATAATTACGTCATGCTTTGATTTTGCAGATGGAACTTTACTGGTAAGTTCTTCATAATTTCCAGAAATAATTATATTTTTAATAGTATTATAGATATATTTTTTTTTGCATCGCGAATAAAGATGTCAAATAAATAAATAATGTCATACTCGAGTCACACAAATTTTGTATATAACAATTCTTCATACGACATATAATTTATAAACCATTTAAAATGAACACTTCAAATGCCTCACCTTATATGTAAAATATTAGCTTTAGGTATAGCTTCTCATTTATAAAACTTTTATTTATAGTTGTGAATCCACTCGAGTAAGATATGTTACATCTAATACATAACAACAATTAATTAACAAAGGGTGAGTATAAACGTGGAAATTACTTTTGAAATGGCATTAGATTATAGGGACCTAGTATAAGCAAACCCTAATGAGTTTTGTTACAATGGGATTCGATTTTCAAAATATTTTAATTTCATGTCTTGTACGCTCATAGCAGTTCAATTATGTACGTGTTGTTGCCAACAGTTATGGCTACAATAGTACAGTGGTTATTTATGGTGTTACAAGTCGCTGGTTTAAATTCTTATGATGAACTGTTCAGATTTAAAAAAATTATAGTCATATCTTTAGAGCTTCGAGTATCTTCTGTTATATTATACAAACTCTAAATTCGAAAATGCATTTATAAAATGTATACAGTAATATATTACATTCGACGGGCTTAGAAATGATTTTAAATATTGGTCTGCCTGGGTTAGTTTTTAAATGTAGTAAAACAGTACTATTAAAATATGTATAGCACGTTATAAATTTGTGCTTCTCATGTTTTTATAATTTATACTACTATAAACCTTGTATACAATTTATAAAGCCATTTATATACAATTTATAAAGAATATAGAATAAAGAAATTTGCTTCTATTGGTAACCAGAAAAATTTATGATTAGAAAAAATAGGTGTAAAACTATCAAGTATAATACTACGGTCCATTGGTCAAGTATGTCTGACATTCTACCAGTTTCAAGTCGATAGTTCAAACGTTCTAATGCTGACATTGAAATCACTAATAGAAAAATATTATTGCTTATACCTTTTAAAAATGAAGTTACAAACTTGTATCTACGTAAATTATAAGACAATTCATTTGAATATAATGAACAAAAAATGGAACAGTTCATTATGGTCATTCGATCCAGTGACTGACAACGCTGTAGATAATTGTTTTATTACTGTGACCACGTTTGCTTGTTAATTGAATCATTGTGAGTACATAAAACATGAAACTAAATTATCTCGAAAACGGAGGCCTATTGTGACAAAACCCATTAGGGTTTGTTAATAGTACTAGGTCTGTACTATAATTTGCACTTAGTGTCATTCCAAACATGATTTCCACATCCGTATCCAACCCTTGTAAGCGAACTTTGTTTCTTTCATACTAAATAACCATTATGTAATTCTGCAGTTTAGTGACTTTTCTCAATTTTTATCTTTTGACTCCAGTCTTAATGACTCATTTTATCACTAAATCAAAAAGATAATCGAAGGAACTTGAAAAAATACCAGATATACTTGATGGCATTGATAAGACTTAATCCAGAAATTTTTGCCATAAATATTGAATTACTTTTTATTTTATTGTTATAATTCACAAACTGCACAAGATGTAAAGAAAGTTTTCAAACTAAAGTTCTTTAAACTAGATTTGTCGTGTAGTAAATGATTTGTCAATTTATAATTATAAACAAAAATCGATAGTTTTTTCAAACTCTTTATTTTTCACGTGCAATTTCAGTCAGTGGTATAAGTATAAAAAATGCTTATTTAGTAGAAATAAAATGTTTGTTGTATCGTTGAATTAATTTTGTCGGTAATCGAAGAACTTCTCGATTTCATTGTATCATTTGTAAGCGTTATGAAGGGAAATGTTCTTTCAAAGTTTAATAAGAAGCAACTTTTAAGCTAAGTATTGAATTTTTATAATGCTTTTACGCTAAACAGATAAGACAGTACAGGGATTTTGAACACGTTAAGAATATTTAATAAACTTGAATGGTAACTGTGGCACGCTTATGGCCGCATGATGGTGCTTTACGTACTGGTCGGGGAACCCCCAAATAAAGCTGGCCAGTCGGTCGCGGAGAATTTCTGTGCCTGGGTATTACTATCGAAATAGTTTTATAAAACATCTCTTCTTTGCTACCTTTGTAATTTCGCTGTATGGTTTATTAGACATGAATAAATTACATTTTATATTACTATCGGACCACATTAACAATAAGAATTATTCTTCATGATCAAAAACAAACTTGTCAAAGTAATGTTTAAAGAATAAAAATTTGTTATACCACGCTCATCGTATGGTAGCACGATTACTACGTATGTATCTTGTTAGGAGAAAGCAAAATCTATTGAATTTTTAAATTAATTTTGTCTGTCATAAATATAACCACTGATTAAAATTCCACTTAAAAAATGAAACATTTGACAATATGGATTTTTGTTTGTAACCTTAGTTGCCTAAAAAATTGACAAATCATTTATTACATGACAGATCTACTTTAAATGTTAACTTTCCTCTATAAACTTTGTTGTATTTTGTGTAGTTTGCGAATTATAACAAGAAACTAAAAAATTGCCGAATATTCGAAGGTTCATTTCCACGCCTTATCCTAAATTTTTAAATCATAAATATCTACATATACTTTAAACAAGGTATATATCATGCAACATAACGACTCAAAATAACTCGTAAGGTATTTGATTTACAGAAAAATGTTTCGAACAGAAATTACACGGTTTTGAACGGTGCATTTAGTACTGTAATTAGTTCCTCGCTGCTTTTCATTTCTCTCGAGATACGTACATTATAATAATATTTCTGTTCGTAAAATTGGGTGTTTAATCTAAATTTGCAAAGTAGCAAGAAACGAATTAGAGGACTAAATGCCCCTAAAATCTGTGAAACTATTTCTTCCTATAACAAATATTTTACGAGTTGTTTCGAGTCGTCACGTTATCTATCTTCAAAGTTACAAAATTTGTAAAAAAGTCGCTATCTCTGATTTTATCCGTCCTTGATCAGTTGCTATCAAACCGAAAGCTAATTAAGGGGTAAGACCACTGTAAAAACCTAAAATAAAGCTTTTTTTATGATGAATGGAAAAGTAAGAGGATAATAATATTCAAGAATGTTATTAACCATGTTGTTGAGTGTTAAAAAAAAATATTTATTAAAAAATAGTGAAAAATAACGACACTGGATCCATTCTCGCGGGGCGTGACGCAAAG